GATTCTGCACATCGCCCCCCGCGGTTTTGTGCAAAACCGCTTACCCGGGCTCAATGTGTAAGTGTATCTAAATCTGCTAGTCCATCGAACGCTCCCTTCCCCTCCAAGACTGGCAATGCTGCCGTCCAAAGGTGCCCCCTGTGCTCCTTCCTCCAGAGTGGGAGCGCTGTAAGGCTCTGTTCACACCAATGCATTTTTTAGTGCTTTTTGCAGAAATGCACTACATTCCATTTAACATGGTTTCCTATGGGACACGTTCACATCTAGGCTTTTTTTGAGCCGCTGCGTTTTTGGAAAAGGGTCGGGGACTTTTCTAAAAGCAAAAAGCAGCATTTTTACTACAACAGAGTTCAATGGAGAAGATGGTGAAGTGCATACCAGTGTGTGTTTGCACACTTTTTTTTTTTTTTTTTTAAGTCATCGGCTTGGTCATGTGATCAGCTGTGTCCAATCACAGCGGATCGCATGTAAATAAGGAAATGACGGTTATCGGCATTCCTCTCCTCACGAGCCGTCACGCTGACAGAGGGTGAAGAACGCAGAGCCGGTAATCGGCATCCCTCAGAGGGGACATCTACAGAGCACTGATGAACAGTGTGCCCTGATGATCAGTGTAGCCCCATCAGTGCCACATATCAGTGCCCATCTGAGCTGTCTTTCAGTGCCAACTATCAGTGCCAGTCAGTGCTGCCTATAAGTGCTGACAATCAGTGCCACCTATCAGTGCCAGTCAATGCCGCCAGTCAGTGCCGCATATCAGTGCCATATATGAGTACTGTCTTTCAGTGCTCATTAGTGATGTCTGTGAATTCCCACCAGTGATGCCTGTCAATGCCCATCAGTGCCACCTACCAGTGCCTCCTCATCAGTGCCCCGTATCAGTGCCCATTAGTGCAGCCTATCAGTGCCCATCAGTGCAGCATATCAGTGCCCATCAGTGCAGCATACCAGTGCCCATCAGTGCAGCCTATCAGTGCCCATCTGTGCAGCCAATCAGTGCCCATCTGTGCAGCATATCAGTGCCCATCAGTGCAGCATATCAGTGCCCATCGGTGCAGCCTATCAGTGCCCATCTGTGCAGCATATCAGTGCCCATCGGTGCAGCCTATCAGTGCCCATCTGTGCAGCCTTTTTTCAAAATGTTCAGTTGTTTTTGGTTTGTTTATCAAAAAAAACAAAAATGTTTTGGACATTTTCATTTACATAGCAAAAAAAAAATAAAAACCCAGAGATGATTAAATACCACCAAAAGAAAGCTCTATCTGTCTCAAAAAAATGCTAAACATTTCATATGGGTACAGTGTTGCAAGACCGCGCAATTGTCATTCAAAGTGTGACAGCGCTGAAAGCTGAAAATTGGCCTGGGCAGGAAGGGGGTAGAAGTGCCCGGTAGGCAGGAAGGGGGTAGAAGTGCCCGGTAGGCAGGAAGGGGGTAGAAGTGCCCTGTGGGCAGGAAGGGGGTAGAAGTGCCCTGTGGGCAGGAAGGGGGTAGAAGTGCCCTGTGGGCAGGAAGGGGGTAGAAGTGCCCTGTAGGCAGGAAGGGGGTAGAAGTGTCCTGTAGGCAGGAAGGGGGTAGAAGTGCCCTGTAGGCAGGAAGGGGGTAGAAGTGTCCTGTAGGCAGGAAGGGGGTAGAAGTGCCCGGTAGGCAGGAAGGGGGTAGAAGTGTCCTGTAGGCAGGAAGGGGGTAGAAGTGCCTGGTAGGCAGGAAGGGGGGGGTAGAAGTGCCCGGTGGGCAGGAAGGGGGTAGAAGTGCCCGGTAGGCAGGAAGGGGGTAGAAGTGCCCTGTAGGCAGGAAGGGGGTAGAAGTGCCCGGTAGGCAGGAAGGGGGTAGAAGTGCCCTGTAGGCAGGAAGGGGGTAGAAAGTGTCCTGTAGGCAGGAAGGGGGTAGAAGTGCCCTGTAGGCAGGAAGGGGGTAGAAGTGTCCTGTAGGCAGGAAGGGGGTAGAAGTGCCCGGTAGGCAGGAAGGGGGTAGAAGTGTCCGGTAGGCAGGAAGGGGGTAGAAGTGCCCTGTAGGCAGGAAGGGGGTAGAAGTGCCCTGTAGGCTGGAAGGGGGTAGAAGTGCCCGGTAGGCAGGAAGGGGGTAGAAGTGCCCTGTAGGCTGGAAGGGGGTAGAAGTGCCCGGTAGGCAGGAAGGGGGTAGAAGTGTCTGGTGGGCAGGAAGGGGGTAGAAGTGCCCGGTAAGCAGGAAGGGGGTAGAAGTGCCCTGTAGGCAGGAAGGGGGTAAAAGTGCCCTGTAGGCAGGAAGGGGGTAGAAGTGCCCTGTAGGCAGGAAGGGGGTAGAAGTGCCCTGTAGGTAGGAAGGGGGTAGAAGTGCCCTGTAGGCAGGAAGGGGGTAGAAGTGCCCTGTAGGTAGGAAGGGGGTAGAAGTGCCCTGTAGGTAGGAAGGGGGTAGAAGTGCCCTGAAGGCAGGAAGGGGTAGAAGTGCCCGGTAAGTAGGAAGGGGGTAGAAGTGCCCGGTAAGCAGGAAGGGGGTAGAAGTGCCTGGTAGGCGAGGGGTTAAAAAAGAAAACTAATGTGGCCGCCACCTCTTGGTAAGCTGCAATAGATGACAATTTTTGGGTTTAATTTGACTTTATTGATTTTTTTGTAGCTGTGAGTTGCTCTTTGTACGCCCCCCCCCCCCCCCCCTTCCCCGCGGAGTGATGTAACATTCGTTGTGTAGAAGGTAAGTCAACGGCTTGGCAATGAAATAATAGAGAATAGTCATTCGCCGCTCACTAATGAAGTTCTCCATCAGAAAAACAAGCCATAGACGCAGGCGGGGGACAATTCATCTTCCCTCCATTCATGCCGCGCTTAACACCCCGTATTGTTCTAAGTCATTCAACATCAGAAAAGAACATTTTATTTTTCAGACGCATTATAAGAGCGAACGCAGCCCTCCTATCACATAGTCTCCTGGATGTGCATTTGGAAAGTCGACATCAGAGCGATGTCAGGGGGGCCTCCGCCGAGTCATTAAAATGCCTTAAAAAATGAAGGAAGTCGCAGCCATGCATTATTACTCCACGCTACATAGTTCCATAGTTAGTCTGGCTGAAAAAAAGACAAAAGTCCATCCGGTTCAACCATAGAAAAAAAAGAAGTTATAATCCGACACCCACAGATGATCCAGAGGAAGGCAAAAAAAAAAGAGCAAAGCACGATCCAATCTGCTCCTGCAGAGAAAAAAATTCCTTCCTGATCCCCCGAGAGGCAATCTGATATTTTCGGGATCAACTTTACCTATAAATGTTATATCCAGTTATATTCTGTGTATCCAAGAAAGAATCCAGGACTTTCCTACAGCAATCCACTGAGCTGGCCACAACCAACTCTGGAGGGAGTCTATTCCACATTCTCACCGCTCTTACTGTGAAGAAACCTTTCCGTGTTTGGAGATTACATTTCTTTTCCTCCAGATGTAAAGAGCGCCCCCTTGTCCTCTGTGATGACCTCAGGGGGATAACTACACCGAGAGTTCACTATATGAACCACATGGAGATGATGTATTATACATGGAGATCATATCCCCCTTATGTATTATACATGGAGATCATATCCCCCCTTATGTATTTATACATGGAGATCATATCATATCCCCCCCTTATGTATTATATATGGAGATCATATCCCCCCCTTATGTATTATACATGGAGATCATATCCCCCTTATGTATTATACATGGAGATCATGTATTATCCCCCCTTATGTATTATACATGGAGATCATATCCCCCCCTTATGTATTATACATGGAGATCATATCCCCCCTTATGTATTATACATGGAGATCATATCCCCCCTTATGTATTATACATGGTGATCATATCCCCCCCTTATGTATTATACATGGAGATCATATCCCCCCCTTATATATTATACATGGAGATCATACCCCCCTTATATATTATTATACATGGACATCATATCCCCCCTTATGTATTATACATGGAGATCATATCCCCCCTTATGTATTATACATGGAGATCATATCCCTTATTATGTATTATACATGGAGATCATATCCCCCCTTATGTATTATACATGGAGATCATATCCCCCCTTATGTATTATACATTATATACATGGAGATCATATCCCCCCTTATGTATTATACATGGAGATCATATCCCCCCTTATGTATTTATACATGGAGATCATATCCCCCCTAATGTATCATGGAGATATACATGGGGATCATATCCCCCCCCCTTATGTATTATACATGGAGATCATCCCCCCCCCCCCCCCTTATGTATTATACATGGAGATCATATCCCCCCCCTATATGTATTATATACATGGAGATCATATCCCCCCCCTTATGTATTATACATGGAGATCATATCCCCCCTTATGTATTATACATGGAGATCATATCCCCCCTGTGACGGAAACGGACCCCGACTGCTCTAGGGTATTTCCGTTAGCTTCCCTGTCCAAACACAGATCCACGGACACCACCGCTGACCATACAAGACGAAACAGCACCAGACTTGTATTAAAACAGGAAATGGACTGCTTTATTTTAACACAAACACAAGATATATATAATATTTTCAAGAGAACAACCCACCCCCCCTGCATAAGGGTGGGGCAAACCAAATCTAGCAACAAGAGACACCAGCAGACACCCCCCATCAAGTCAATACACAAAACACATACATCCCATAATAGTTTGCTCCCAAGCAAGACACAATAGAACAATGGGACCACCTGGCAGTAAACAATGAACAACCCCCCACACCCCACCTATACATGTCTACACAATATCCGGACATTCCACCCTGTACCCCTAACAGGCACAGGGTGAATTACACATAATAGAGATATGGGGAGCTGAGACTGGGGTCTCCCCACCTCTCCAATGGGGGTTCCATGGGCCCCCCACCCAAAGTCACTCCCATCACACACCTGTGCAAGACTGAAGGGGAGGAGCCAGTATACCTGAGCAATACTAAAGGGGAAAAGCCAATACACCTGTACAAGACTAAAGGGGAGGAGTCCATACAACTGTGCAGGACTGAAGGGGAGGAGCCGGTAAACCTGTGCAAGATTGAAGGGGAGGAGCTGGTACGCCTGTGCAAGACTGAAGGGGAGGAGCAGGTACACCTGTGCAAGACTGAAGGGGAGGTGTCCATACAACTGTGCAAGACTAAAGGGGAGGAGCCAGTGCACCTGTGCAAGACTGAAGGGGAGGAGCCGCTACACCTGTGCAAGACTGATGGGGAGGAGCAGGTACACCTATGAAATACTGAAGGGGAGGAGGCAGTACAACTATGCAATAATAAAGGGGAGGAGCTGGTTCACCTGTGCAAGACTGAAGGGGAGGAGCCAGTACACCTGTGCAATACTAAAAGGGAGGAGCTGGTTCACCTGTGCAAGACTGAAGGGGAGGAGCCAGTACACCTGTGCAATACTAAAGGGGAGGAGCTGGTTCACCTGTGCAAGACTCAAGAGGGGGAGCCAGTACACCTGTGCAATACTAAAGGGGAGGAGCTGGTTCACCTGTGCAACGACTGAAGGGGAGGAGCCAGTACACCTGTGCAGGACTGAAGGGGAGGAGTCCCTACAACTGTGCAAGACTGAAGGGGAGGAGCCACTACACCTGTGCAAGACTGAAGGGGAGGAGCCGGTACACCTGTGCAAGACTGAAGGGGAAGAGCTGTTACACCTGTGCAAGACTGAAGGGGAGGAGCCGGTATACCTGTATAAGACTGAGGGGAGGAGCCGGTACACCTGTTGAAGACTGAAGGGGAGGAGCCGGTGCACCTGTTCAAGACTGAGGGGAGGAGCCGGTACACCTGTGCAAGACTGAACGGGAGGAGCCAGTACACCTGTGAAAAACTGAAGGGGAGGAGCCACGGTACACCTGTGCAAGACTGAAGGGGAGGAGCTGTTACACCTGTGCAAGACTGAAGGGGAGGAGCCGGTATATCTGTATAGGACTGAAGGGGAGGAGCTGTTACAGCTGTGCAAGACGGAAAGGGAGGAGCCTGTACACCTGTACACCTGTACAAGACTGGAGGGGAGGAGCCAGTAAAACAAGACTGAAGGGGAGGAGCCAGTACAACTGAAGGGGAGGAGCCGTACACCTGTGCAAGACTGAAGGGGAGGAGCCGGTACACCTGGGCATTGCTGAAGGGGAGGAGCCGGTACACCTGTGCATTGCTGAAGGGGAGGAGCCGGTACACCTGTGCATTGCTGAAGGGAAGGTTGGAGTTCTGCTGTAAAAGTTCGTCCTTTGGGTTGGATTCCCCGGTGTGCGGTGGACGGGGGTGTTTGCTGGGATAGAATCTCCCGGTTGGTGTTGTTTGCTGTGTGTGGATGTTTTCCCGTTGTGTAGAATCCTGGATCCATTCCCCGGCTCCTCCCGCTCGGCGTCCTCTTATCGCTGGGTTTTTGTCATTTCAGGATTGATATTTGATTTGTGAAGCACTTAAGTAAATATCTTCCGTCCCGCGCCGGCTCTCCTGTTCTTTTATTCATGGACTGTGGCGCTCCTGTAGCGTCTCCCCGGCTCTGGCGCTCCTAACATTTACAGAGCCGTCTGTTCTCTGAGCTCCGGGCGTGGATTAAACAAGGAAGAAAACACGCCGTGGCACCGCCGCCGCCGCGGCCCCCAAATGTCGTCCAGACATGGCAGCTGTGGGGGACCCCCAACACCAGAGATCAGATAGTGGGCCGGAGCACACCACTAGACCTGCGGCTCGTTCCGAATCAAAATTCAGACAAAATGTTCGTCATTCACGGATTCGGATGTATCTAAATTTCTGCATTATAAAAGTAACAAATTTAAACCAATTCCAAAATAACGAAATGAAATGTGAAATGTAAACATTTTGCTGACTATTATAAACAAGAACCCAGATCCGTCACACACCAAAAGGTCCATTGGACACCTAAGAAATGAACGGTGAGAACATTTGGAGAACTGAAGAATTTATAGTATGAATATCCTACGTGACGGATTTGGACGCTGGGCTCTTGTTTATACTCAGAGCTTCCCAGGGGGGGAAATAATATCCTGACGATCGGAAATTTTACTAATTTTGTCAAATTTTGTATTTTGTGCATTCTACAGATATTTGGGGTGACAGTGATCACAGGTTTACCCTGGGTGTGGATTTTATTATACAGTGTTTATTGCTAACTATTGCTGATTCCCTTCAGAGACTGTGTGTATCACTGTTTGAATAATTTAATAATTTACATTTTGAATAGAATAGAATAAAACAGAATATAATAAAAAAAAAAAAAGAAATGAATAGAAAATGTGACGGGAGTCACTTTGGGTGGAGCACAGCTCACTTTAGAGAGGTGGGGAGACCCCTGTCTCAGCTCCCCATATCCCTCTTATGTGTGAGTCACCCTGTGCCTGTTAGGGGTACAGGGTGATCTGTCCTAATATTGGGGTGGGGGGTTGTTGATTGTTTAATGACATGTGGTTGCATCCCATTGTTCTATTGTGTGTCTGGCTTGAGAGCAAACTATTATGGGATGTATGTGTTTGTGTATTGGCTTGGTGGGGGGTGTTTCCAGCAGCCCTCCCCTCTGATGGGACTGTCTGTTGGTGTATCTCTTGTTACTGGGTGTGGATTGCCCTGCCCTGTATCATTATGCAGGGAGGGGGGATGGTTCCCTTGAATGTATATATCTTGTATCTGTTTTAAAATAAAGGAGTCTACTTCCTGGTTTCTTTCCAAGACTGGTGTCGTCTAGTCTTGTTTGGTCAGCGGTGGTGTCTGTGGTCGGTGTTCAGACAGGGAAGCGGTGTTATAATGGAAGTACCCAATTGCAGTCGGGGTTTCGGTTCCATTATTTTGGTGGCAGCAGTGGGATTGTGCTTCCAAGCTGTGAACAGGTCCGAACCACCACCGGGATTCAAGATCAGGAAAGTAGACGTCGGTCACCCCACTGGAGATATGGACCTGGCATCAGAGTTCCCAGGGCTGCTGCAGATCGTTCTTGCAACATACCCCAGGACTGCATGGTTGAGTTGCCAGAAAGAAAGACTTTACTGAACCAATGGCACAAAAAATGACGGTTACAGTATGCCCGACAACACCTTGACACATAATAAACAAGGAGCACAATACGACGGTACTTGAACAAAAATGAGCTGCATGGTTGAGTTGCCAGAAAAAAAGCCTTTAGTGAACCAATGGCACAAAAAATGGCGGTTACAATTTGTCCGACAACACCTTGACACGCCTCACAGCTTCTGGCACCCTGTAATCTGGAGTGATGAGGCCAATGGTCACAACTAATCGCTATGTTTAGGGAGGTGTCAACAGGGACAAGAATACCATCCCCACTGTGAAGCATGGTGGTGGCTCACTGATGTTTTGGGGTTCTGTAAGCTGTAAAGGCACGGGGGAATCTTGCGAAATCTGATGGCGAGATGATTGCAGCATGTTATCAGAAAATACTGGCAGACAATTTGCATAAAAGCTGCCCATGGGACGCTCGTGGACCTTCCAGCACGACAATGACCCCAAGTACAAGGTCAAGCGGACCCTCCAGTGGTCACAGCAGGAAAAGGTGAAGGTTCTGGAGTGGCCATCACAGTCTCCTGACCTTCATATCATCGAGCCGCTCTGGGGAGATCTCAAACGTGCCGTTCATGGAAGACGACCAAAGACTTTACATGACCTGGAGGCATTTGCCGACACGAATGGGCGGCTCTACCACCTGCAGGAATTCGGGGGCCTCATAGGCAACTATTACAGAAGACTCACCGCTGTCATTGATGCTAAAGGGGGCGATACGCAGGATTAGGAACTGGGGGGGGGGGCAGAACAGTATGTATTTATGCAGCACTGACAATGTAAGTAGCACTTTACATATCATGCTACAATGTATCTGTGGAGGTTCTTGGAGGACTTGTTGGTTCCACGTTCATACCTGAGCAGCTCCAGCCGCATCACACAATCATCGCATTCATAATGTGACTTAAATATGCACAAAACTGCTCGTCACAATGCAGCCCCGTCAGTGACCTCCTCATCACCTTTACATAACAGGAGTCCTGATTGCAAACATATGCAAATATATTCCGAGGAACAAAAACCGCATCAAGATACAGCGACTCCAACTGACTCCAATCCACAGGGCTACCAACACCGAGCCCGGGACTCCAATCCACAGGAGTACCAACACCGAGCCGGGACTCCAATCCACAGGAGTACCAACACCGAGCCCGGGACTCCAATCCACAGGAGTACCAACACCGAGCCCGGGACTCCAACCCACAGGAGTACCAACACCGAGCCCGGGACTCCAATCCACAGGAGTACCAACACCGAGCCCGGGACTCCAACCCACAGGAGTACCAACACCGAGCCCGGGACTCCAATCCACAGGAGTGCCAACACCAAGCCCGGGACTCCAATCCACAGGACTGCCAACACCGAGCCCGGGACTCCAATCCACAGGAGTGCCAACACCGAGCCCGGGACTCCAATCCACAGGAGTGCCAACACCGAGCCCGGGACTCCAATCCACAGGAGTGCCAACACCGAGCCCGGGACTCCAATCCACAGGAGTGCCAAAACCGAGCCCGGGACTCCAATCCACAGGAGTGCCAAAACCGAGCCCGGGACTCCAATCCACAGGAGTACCAACACCGAGCCCGGGACTCCAATCCACAGGAGTACCAACACCGAGCCCGGGACTCCAACCCACAGGAGTACCAACACCGAGCCCGGGACTCCAATCCACAGGACTACCAACACTGAGCCCGGGACTCCAATCCACAGGAGTGCCAAATACCGAGCCCGGGACTCCAATCCACAGGGGTACCAACACCGCCGTCACCCCGGGACTCCAATCCACAGGAGTGCCAACACTGAACCCGGGACTACACTGTCTGTGACTGATGGATCCAACCAACCGCTGGAAGTCAGGACACTCTCAGATCAATGTGATTTCTTCACCCATTGTAGCCGTCACCTGTGCCGAGTTCCCGGGTCTGTACACCTGCTGGGTCCATTATGAGGGGTTCCCGCCATCCCTGTGCCGAGTTCCCAGGTCTGTACACCCGCTGGGCCCATTATGAGGGGTTCCCACCATCCCTGTGCCGAGTTCCGGGTCTGTACCCGGGTGCCCTGTCCCACCACACCTGCTGGGTCCATTATGAGGGGTTCCCACCATCCCTGTGCCGAGTTCCCGGGTCTGTACACCCGCTGGGCCCATTATGAGGGGTTCCCACCATCCCTGTGCCGAGTTCCCGGGTCTGTACACCCGCTGGGCCCATTATGAGGGGTTCCCACCATCCCTGTGCCGAGTTCCCGGGTCTGTACACCCGCTGTGCCCATTATGAGGGGCTCCCACCATCCCTGTGCCGAGTTCCCGGGTCTGTTCCCACACCGCCGTGCCCATTATGAGGGGTTCCCACCATCCCTGTGCCGAGTTCCCGGGTCTGTACACCCCGCTGTGCCCATTATGAGGGGTTCCCACCATCCCTGTGCCGAGTTCCCGGGTCTGTACACCCCCTGTGCCCATTATGAGGGGTTCCCACCATCCCTGTGCTGAGTTCTCGGGTCTGTACACCCGCTGTGCCCATTATGAGGGGTTCCCACCATCCCTGTGCTGAGTTCCCGGGTCTGTACACCCCCTGTGCCCATTATGAGGGGTTTGCACTCCTGAGCCACATGAATGACTAGAAATCATTTGTCAGGTAATCTCTTCACGGAGATGGAATCTGGTTGTGAATTACCTGTCTGGGGTTCAGCTTCCGTCAGAAGTGATTTTTTTCATTTCAGTCATGCATTGCGCTGGGTCAGGTTTGCGCTGGGTCGGGTTTGCTCTGGGTCAGGTTTGCGTTCGGTCAGGTTTGCGCTGGGTCGGGTTTGCTCTGGGTCGGGTTTGCGCTCGGTCAGG